GCAGAGGGGGGGTGGGCAACGCGGCTCAGGCCACCGCACGCCGTGTCCTACGTCCAAGCCCAACGCGGCAACACGTGCGCATCAGTCACGCAAAATATCGTTCCCCAAGATAGCGCTGGCAGCGGCTGGTGGAGCGTCGAGGTTCGCCCTTCCCCGCTATCGTGCAAGGAAACGGTAAAATTGGAGTGAAACCCATGAATTCTGGGGCATCTCGCTTCCTGAGCCTCGCTGCGCATTTAGGGACCCATCCCCTAGCACTGGTTGATGTGCTAAAAAAAAAATAGGCAAGGGATGAATATTTATCTGTGGGTGGCAAGTGACAGATGCTGGGGCGAGGATTCTAGGATACTTCAGTTTGATGAAGGTAATAACTTGAATAGATTAATGAGAAACATCCTTCCCAACAGTTGCCTCCCCTGTGCAATAGCTACGCAGCCACCCTTCCAGCAGAGCTCCCGCACGCACCAGCTTCTTGTACCCAAACGCAAAAAGTTCCTTAAGGTTCAGTGCCCAAAAGGCTGGAGATGCCCAGCTTCGGCGTCTTCCACCCAGAACTGGAGACAGGCAACTGGGAAAGTGCCCTGGCCTCTGGGGTACTTGCAACCGAGTTGGCGAAGGTGCAATTTCAGCTGGGTTCAGCCGCTCCATGGTGGAGCCCAGCTGAAATGTGGGGAAAGCTGGTGTGGAGGAGCCCGGTCGGGGTGTGCGTGGCCCGTCCCGGCAGCAGGGTGGGCTTGGCCACAGGTACCATCACCCCACGTCTCCCCAGCACAGCCACCCCCCTCCTCCTAGGATGGTTTGCAGAGCCCCTGGGGGGGAACATGGTGCTCCAGCCCCTGCCCTTGTCATCTCCTGATCCTCTTAGGAGGTAAGACCTCCTCCTAAAATGATAAACATGCAGTAGAGCTTTTCGGTCCCCAAACACCGAGAAGCCAGGCTGGCCTGACAAGATGGAAGAAGCAGCTCTTTGCTTCTGGTAGGTTCTCAGAACTGGCGAAACTGCTGGTGAGCCACCCCAATTTGGAGATGCTCCCCAGGTTTTTCCCAAAAAGCTGCCGCGCTGCAGCTGACGGGGAGCGTGCCGGGGTGGGGGCACGTGCGTGGCCGGGGACAGGGCCAGCCCTGCAACACCCCAGCCCTCGCAGACCTGTAGTTTGTCGAGACTTCTGTCTGCCTTCCTTGCAAACCTCTCCCGCAGGGGCTGAGTGCCAGGAGGGGAGCAGGGCGACGGCACCCGCGTTGGGAGCACGCAGAAACACCCCCACCCCCTCCCAGCCCCTCCTGACCACTTTGAACGTCGGAGACCGCGATTATTCTCTGACCAAGCTTTATTCTCAGCTGAAGGACTGCTGGGATTTATCGATGGCTTGCAAACACACGCTCGGCAGATTCCAGCTCAGACCCCAGCATTATTCCAGGCAGCTGAAACAAAAGGTTGCGGCTATATTTTCCTTTAGGAGAAAGCCACCAGCACAAAATTATCATTACAAAAAAATCAAGAGAACGTTCCACCTCTCCCTTCAAGAGCAGAAAAGAGCAGCTGCAGGTAACATTTAATCCTGCCTCCCCGTATAATCACAAAGCAGCGACCTGGGTTTTCTAGAGAAAGGTCTTGCAGCACCTTTCAGGAATGCTGCGATGGAGCTCATCAACGCTGCAATTTCCTTAACGTAGCAGTCCTGGAAAATGATAACGTCTTTAAAAAAACCAAAAAAAACCAAAAAAAAAAAAACCAGCCAAAAAAAAAAAAATTATAAAGCCTGCTTTAGATGGACACGTTTGCCAGCAAAACAACGGGGCAGCGCTGCCGAATGCCCCCGGCTGCCGGCAGGTAGGCCTGCCTCGTATTATGGTGGCAATTTAGATGGAAAAAGCCACAAAACATGAGAGAGAGGATGATACAGCCACTTACAGCACAGCACCAGCTGTTTCTCCTAGTTCGGCCTTAAAGCTTGTTAGTCCAGCAATTTTATTTTTTTTTTTTCCTGATCGCTCCAATTGGGTTTTCTTGGTTTTTATTCAATCCTAGTTTCCCCTCAACATCTCGTTAAGCCGTGTTGACGGCAGAGAATAGCTTTGGTGATCCCTCTGAGCCCCTACGCTAAGCATTAAGCCGTAAACTAGGAATGTAAGACTCTTGCCTGAATTAAAGTCTTTTGCCTGGTATTATTAAGCGTGGGGCTGCGTTCGGAGGGGCTGCAGGGCACGCAGAGACCCCAGCCCCTCGCTGGAAGCATTTGCAGCACCGGAGCTGCACCCATCTGCCCTGGTCCCCCCCCGCCCCGCACGCTCACCTCCCCTCTGCCCCGCGTTGCTTCGATGCAAATCCTACAGGTTCCAGTGGTGCAGAACTGCAAATCCCACGTGCAACTTGAAGACCCAGCACCCCAGAGACCCGCTGAACATATGGGGCTACCTGTGGCAAAGAGCCGATGCCATGCCGGGCTGGTTCCTTATCTCCTGCGGGGGGATGAGCATCCCTCTCTCCAGGCGAGCAGGTTGCAAACTCACAGGCTCCAGCCTAAAACCAGGGTCCCTGTTCGGAAGCTTGTACCCCCATGCCACCGCCCGCCCCGGCCGGGGAGGTATGAATGCAGCACCTACCTCCATCCGAGTAGGTCTCTGTCCCGTAGCCATCCTGTAATCCATTGCTCCAGGTGCCTTCGTACTTGGCCCCATTTCCAGTGCATTCTCGGACCCCGTACCGTCCCTTAAATCCATGGGTCCACTCTCCTTTGTACACCCACTTCCCCTTGCTCTCCATGCCAATGCCATGGCGCTTGCCCTGCGCCCAGGTGCCCTGGTAAGTGTTGCCGCTGGGCCAAGTGTAGACCCCCAGCACCTCAAAGCCGTGACTCCAGGAGCCCGAATATTCACCTTGACCCTTCGGGCCGGTACAGATTCCGTGGCCATGAGCCTTTCCGTCCTCCCAGCCTCCACAGTACGACCCTCCATCGTCAAAATTAAACCTTCCCCCACTGGACATGCATGTAATTCGGTTTGCAAATCCCCCAAAAGGTGAAAAAAAAAAAAAAAAAAATGCAGGAAATAAAATGCGAACGATGACTTGGGGAAAAAAATAAAAAATCAAAATCAAATCAAATCGAACTCAATCGAAATCATGCACCAGATCCAGGGAGCTGCTTAAGCCAGTTTCTCGTGATTATTCATTCTCTGGGAGTATGTTCAGGATCAGTTCTCTCTTCCCCTGCTGTGGAAACAGTATCATTAAAAAAAAAAAAAAAAAAAAAAAATAGCAGCAAGAACAGCAGCAGCTATTGGGTTTTGGTGCAAACGACTCCACCTAAAAACCATCCAAGGCAGGGAAC